CGGTTTTGTGTGAAAAAAAAATCAAGATTGCTTGATTATTTCCAAGAATCGAGCTATGTTTGATATCAATGATAAAGAATGGCAGCGGAGTTATGAACGTTACTTGTCGTTGAAGAATTAAACCTAGAAAGAACTAGACTCGATCAAAGAATAAGGGGAAAGAGATGGAGGGGAAGTGGCAATTAAGGTTTTTAGGGTTTATTGGAAATTGAATAAGAATAATAAGATTAAAACAATAAAGATAAAATAAAGATAAGGGATAATAATAATAATAATAATATGATAGGAATAACTTAGTTAAGTTAGGGTTTTGATGTGATGGGTGAGAATGGTAATTCGATGATGATGATGATTGATAGATAGTTGTCCTACGAACCATCTAGTATCAATTGACTAAGCAGACCGATAATCAACTCTAACCAACCCTCTTAATCGCAATGAGAAGGCAAACCAGAGTGTGAAGATCTCTCACGAAAAAAACTTGAAAGAACTTAATGATGAAGATTGCTTCGAAGGCACAAGGCAATTAGCACTTGCAAAAACGAACGTTGTATTATATTCAAGAAAATATGTGATTACAATGGTGGGAGGAGCCTCCTTTATAGGGTGAGAAGTCATTGCTGTAACATGGCTAATGAATAAAAGATAATGTTTCGAGTCTTATCTCATTCCTAATAAAATAAAATAAAAAAACTAAGAATAATGTTTTAACTTTATCTTAATTCCTAATAAAGTAATCAATCTAATTCTAAAAGACAATGCATTTAAATTATATTACAAATAATCAATAAAATATTAAAAATTTGCAATATTTAGAAATTAATCATTTAAGGGATTTTAAAGATATTTTCAGGATTGTCTCTGGTTGTGTCATTAATTGATCATGAAGTTGTTTCAACTTGAGTTGTTGAGATCTAAGTAGATATAGTAGGAATGAGTAATGAATTTCCTTTATTGAATTCTTCAATCTCCATGTGGTAATGAAGTCCCTTGCTAACGAAGGTTTAAACCACAACTTGAAGCTTGTCTTTCAGAAGTTTGGACTTGGCACGTGTGATTGGACCAAGTGAAAGAGTTAATCCATCTTCTTTTGCCCTGTGACATGTCGTGCATGTATCATTCATCATTAATTGATTTTCGGTAAAAATGATAAAAGATAATAATAAAAAATAGAAAACTTCAAAATTTTCAAGTCGATTTATTTTTAAGAGTTTAAGTCACTATGATAGAAAAGGAGAAGAAGGTTATTGATTCACCGCAACGAGAGGTTGAATGATGATTACTAGAGTCCCAATGAATATAGTGAAGGCCTACATAATTAAAAAAAATTAATAATAATAAATGAAGAGCTTCTAAATGATACATTAGGGTAAACTACACGAGTGACTACTAAACTATTGTCATATTTTATTTTGATCGCCGGCATTTCAATTTGATCAATTAGACCACTCAACTATTTAAATATTTCAATCAAACTATTGTTAACTTTTAATGGAAAAAGTGACGTGGCAGTTAAAAAACTTAGTATAATTGCATATTTGGTCCTTACTATTTATACTTTATATAATTTTAATCATAATTTTATTCAATTAAAATAAATTTAATCTCCAATAAAATCATGACATGTGTCGCTACCTGATTAGAGAGTATTTTCTTAATTTTTATTTATTTAATCTAATAATTTTTTTCATTCAATAAGGTGGTAACACGTGTTACCACCATATTAAAGAGAAAATATACAAGGAAAAAAGGCATCCTAAGTCTGTGAGAATCAAACCTGAGACAACCCTAATGTCAAGCAACACCTAAACCATTAGGCTGAGCCTTCACTTAATTTTATGTTACAATATTCTTTATATAACTTGTTCAATTAATGACAGAAAAAATAAAGTGAAAATGCTAAAATAAGATTCGAACCTAGGATTGTAAATATGGATATGCAATCATAAACACTACTTTTTATTGGTCAAAATAAAATATGATAATAGTTTGTTGGTCATTTGTGTAATTTACCCTAATTTTTATTCTAAAATTAACTCCAACTTACTATTTCCAAATTCTAAAACCCATCTCGTCCGTCAGATTTTGATTATTGACCAAGCCTAGGTGAAGCCCCTCATCCTTGAAACGGCGCGCTTCGATTCGACCCCCTCCAAAAAGCGAAGAAGCGATGAGTTAACTATCGTCAGTTCCTCAACCACACTTCACTCGCACTTATGGCCACTCCTCTGATTCTCAAAGGCATCCCGCTGCTGCGGCTTCGGTTGCAACGGTACAACCGTCTCTTCGCCGGAACCTTTTCGTCTCCGTGGGGACCTTGTTGTGCCACCTCAGACCAGACTGGCATCAAGAGGAGGTATCATCTGCGGAGAAAAGTAGTTCGGTGCTAACTGTGAGGGATCCTACGAAGTACCATAGGTGGGATGATCCTGATTACAGGAAATGGAAGGATAAGGAGGAAGAGATTCTTCGAGACATCGAGCCTATCATTTCTCTAGTTAAAGAGATTCTTCACTCCGATAGGTCAGCCTCTTAACCCTTAGCCATGTTATCACTTATCATAAGATCTAGTTTTATAGGCTCCATTAACGAAAAAATTTAAGAATTAGATTATACATTTGAGTTCCGTACATCTATTCAATTGTAATTGATTTGAATTTCGAACAGATTTCTAATGATGCGATTTTCGGATTCTTGATCCTTTGTTTATGATAATTCTAGTGTTTAGCTCTATTGTTTCTTTAAATAGGCAAATTGTTGATCTACTTCTTTGTCAGTTACTAGTAGTTCAAAATTCTGAGTCCTGACTTTGTTCCAAGGCTAGCAGGTTTCCATTATTCAGTAGTTCATGTATTAGTCCTGAGTAGATAACACATTAAGCTTGAAGGCTTCTGTTAGGATGAAATATTGAATTTATTAGTCCTTTGCTGCTATGAGAGGGATGAAAGCTTGTTGTGGTTTTATGTTTACTGTAAGAACTGATTAATATTGTGTGAATGAATCTTTTACCACTGTCAAAATATTGCTTTTGATATAATACTTGCTGCTCCTGGCCATAAATAAAAGAAGTTTTATTAGGAATTTGGTGCTACTGGAGTAAACAGACGAGCACTTAATGTTGCTCATCATCTCGTATGTCTCTTCAAACCCGGCCATTAAGTTCCCATCAATATCCCACATTATCCTCTATCATTGATGACAGAAAAGATGGGAACAGAATGGAACTTGGTATTGGTTGTGTGCAAGAATGATATCCAATTTATATTCATGAATTTCCATTCTTAGTTGCTTTTGTATATATTAAACACAGAGACAGAATATGGGGTATATGGAGTTCTCCTGTAGTTTTCTTACGAGTTTGCTAGAACTTAGACTGGAGCTGCAGATACTTTTAAGTCTTATGACAAATTTTGGAAATAAAGGGCTCTCAAAAGGTACTTGAATTTTAAAATTTAAATGTGCTACTGAATTAAGAAAGGAAAATGTTGTAAATATTCTAACCATCTTCCGTGTGTTAATGTGGAAAAAATTTCTCCAGTTCCTTTTTTTTATTTCTAATGTAACTGTCTTGATCTTAGAACCTGTGATTTTTTTCACTGCTGAGAAAAAACAAGCTAACATATAACTTTGAGATGCTTTTCATTTTCAGAAGTAGAAGCCAATAAGTTGAGCAAATCTGTCTTTGCGGTGCAGCACTATTTTAAATTTTAGCCAGCTTAATGATTATGATACTTCTATGTATTTCTAATGTTAGGTATAAGGATGGGGAACGTTTAATGTTTCGGACGAGGAAACTGTGCTAGAGAAGCTTCTTCGTCATCATCCACATTCTGAAGATAAAATTGGATGTGGACTTGATTCTATTATGGTGAGTTTTATCACATTGCCTTTTAGCAGGTTGTTCAATGTTTTGGTTGGATTGCTATATAATGAAACATGTTTTTGGGTAACTTTCAGTATTCCATTGTGAGAATGCCTGTAGGCCATTTTAGAAAGTGCGGATTAAGTGAATTCTACTTTAACTTAAACGAGTGCAATTGATTGTTTTGTATGTCCTACTACAGTCAAAAACATTTCTTAACATTATATTAGTTAGGCTGATTGTTGTCTCAAGATTTGGAATTTGCTCATCCAGACTTTTATGAAATTCAGTCTCCTCTTTCCTTTATTTCTTCTGGTGTTGAAATCTACCTCTCTTTTCTTTATGCGGAATTTTAATTTCCCCAATCCTTGATGACTGGTCCATTCTTTCCTCTATTATTGTGACATAGAATCTTCTTTAATCTGCTGCTAGTGTTGCTTACTTGCTGATTGAAGGTACTGTTTTATGTTCAATACTTTTGTGGTTGGTTGAAACTGACCTAGCAGTGCTGCTTTACATGTGTGTAATCATTATATTTTATAGATGTATGGGGTACATTGGTATTTGCTTTCTTGGACAAAGAACAAACTAATAAGTGCTTAATCTCCTTTGAAGGTTGATCGACATCCTCAATTTAGACACTCAAGGTGTCTCTTGTTGTAGAACTGATGGGGATGGATAGATTTCTCATACCAGAAGTGTCTCGAGAGTATATTCGAGATAAAATACCCATCTCATGCAGAAAGACAATTTGTATTAGAGACGATATATAGACTTGATTTCTGGGTTTGAATGTTGTAGATGACTCTCGACTAATGCTTCATGTGACATTTGCAAACGGGGACAGAAAAAAAAATATTATTGAAGTGAGCCTCTCACTCTGTCGACTTGAATCTATCTCGTCGTGGTTGGCTTTGTGCAAGTTTTGTATATGTTGTAGGAAGCTTTCTCATATCCTTAGCTGGCTATTGGTTTTACAAAATATTAGGATTGGTCAAAGAGCTCTATAATAGGTCCTGAATTCTTTGCAAAGGCAATAAAATGGTTTAATTTCTCTCCAAGAACTGCATGGTATCTTGATTCTTGAATATTGAATACATACATAGACGTGGATACATATTAGAAGAAAATTACTTTGATGAGAAACAGATGGCATCTTTGGAGTTCGTCTTGCCCTTGCCCTTATGTAGGTGTGTGGTCATCAGGCTGCAAAGCAACTGGGTTCGTGAGTCCCAATAAAGCCAAGTCTTTGCTTTCTGTTGTGTATGGTTTCAGTGAGATGGCGAAAAGCACCACCCATACTTTCTCATCTGTGTTTTTTTTCCCTTCAGGAAATTTTAGAGGAAATTTTGTAGGTCATGTGACACTCTAACTCATTTTTATTAAGATTTGAACTCATGATTTTACTTAAAAATTTAGTGTCTTATTCTATTAGATTGACTAATTGTGGGGTTAGTTTTTTTTAACAATAAACAAATATAATATAAATAAATAATGTATAAATATAATAAAAATTATATAACAATACGTGAAAATGCAGGTATGATGAGGCATTTACGACGTGAACGCTCACCCGTAGTTCATTTTGCTCTTTTTACTTTTCTTTAATTGTTGATGTGTGTTTCATTTATAGGGGATCGAGCTCCGTAAAGAAGGAAAGTGAGAAGCAGGAGTACAGCAAAGCAAAGGCAAGGAAAGCAATTCATGAGAGTACAACACCCTTTTCACCGACTCCTCACCAGCACCTCCATTAATGGTTCCCTCACTGCCATACAATTCCGAATTCTCATTTTCATTTACCGCACCCCTACCATTTTGCATGCCTCAAAGGCAACTCCTTTTTTTATTTATTAAAAAACAATATTTTGACATCTAAATTTAATCTTCATGTATAATGTAAGGGTTGGATCCATTTATTTGGTGTAAATTTTTAGTTTTACACATTTTTACGATCGATTGGATGAGGAGAAATTAAAAATTGAGATTAACTCTTTATTTTTTAGTGAATATTTTTTATTACTACTATTAGTTTCATCTCAATTTAATATTTAAGTTTCTTTTTTGTAATATTCAACTTTTCCTTTTAATCCTAATTAATTCTTATTATAATTTTAATAATGTTTAATTTACAATATAAGTATTATATGTTTAAAGTTTTTTTGAACGAATATATTTAAAAAAAGCTTGCAATTTTAAAAATAATCAGAAATATTTAAATAATATACTAGTAAGGATTTTCAACTCTAATTTTTTTTGTCGATGTAAGACTTTTACTTTTTCATCTTTGTGGTCCATAACGACATTAATTTTGATGTTAGTCGTCGACTATTAATATTAATTGTTTTTTTTTTATTTTATTATGATGTCCTTTATTTTTTATTTTTTTAATAATTATATCTCTATGACAATTTTTCTATGTCCTTATAACACGTTTTCTATGTCTTTTGATATGTTTTCGGTCGTTTGGCCATTATTTTCGTTTATATTTTTCTCAGGGTTATATTTGACATTGTCATGACTGATCAAGACAACTCTTATTTGTTATCATTCCAATCTCCTCTGTTTTATACCCTCATATTGGATTTGGATACACAATTTGTGTTCGTACTACTTTTCTCACGTCACTCGATTCTAATTTACATGTTGTCGATGATTTTTCAATAGCTTGATATTTTGTGGTTTGCTTGTTGATTTGGTCTGATCTAATTTGTATCTACATGTTATTCAAGTTTATTTGGTTAGGTTTTTAATCTTTTCATTGTATTGTATGTTATTGTATGATCTAAAGAGATTAATTTTTTATGTTAATAATGATTAAAAAATATTATTATTATTATTATTATTTTGTGTGTTTTAGTTTACAGTTATGGTTTTAAATTTTTATTGTACTTTGAATAACCAATGTTTTTTATCTTGTCAAAATAAATTTAAAATTTTAAAATTAATAAAAAGAATGGGTTTTTCTTCAAAATAATTGAAAAATAGGGGATAGGTTTCTAAATAATTTTTGATGTATGGAAAAAAATCCTCTTTTCTGTTCTCAACAAGCTTATTATTCTAGAATTAATGCACACCCAAAAAAAAAAAGAAAGGAATTGAGTTATCCTGCTGGAGAGCACTAAATTCCATGGGGAACTGTTTTTCTAATTGTAGAATTAATTTGAATGTTTTTTCATGGCTTTCTGCAACCAAGCATGCATACTCTGTATAGTAACATTTCTGTTAATAATGGAGGCCGCATTGAAGAGACCAAAAAGGAACAGATGTAACACCCAACAGGGACGAAACTGAAATAACACACCTCATTACCCCTCTACTCAAACTTGTACACATTTCGTTTTAACAAGGCAAGCTACAGCATTTTGAATTTCTAGCACCTCTGCCTCCATTTCTTTCATTAATTATTTGGCTGCATGCTTCAATTCATACAACTCTGTTTTCTTTTCTGTACCCTTTCACAGTAATACTTACCACTATCCTTGTAGACACATAATTTCGTCTCCCACACTTTATAATATTTACATTATATATATATATATATTAGTATTAATTTTATTTATTGTTTGCATATTGCAGACCAAAATCAGATTACAAAACCAATCTGTTGGCCCAACATGGACCAAGCCCAGCAACAGTGACCCCACGACCATTGCAAACTAGGGTCTGTTTGGAAACCCTAGATACACACCTCGTTACAGCGCCACTCCACCCAACCGTCGGATCAAGGGAGGATCCAAGGCCCAGATTAACCCTAGTTGTTGCTGCCCTATCTCATCCAGCGCCGCTTGGTCAACTGCACGCCGATTTTCACGGCCGTTCCTCGCACATTCAACAAACATAAGGACGTGTGTTAGTAGGATTCCATCACCAACAATAAGGCAGTGTTTTAGTCTATATAGGACTCAAGGATGTAATCTAAAAATAGGTTTTTTCAGTATAAATAGATGTAATCGAATTCATTGTGAGGGAGAGGATTACACACAAACACACAAGTTGTACACGGTACAGAGAGAAATCACAGCAAACCGTAAACACTCGAAGCATTTGTAGCTATTCGAAAGCATAAAAGGTAGTTTTTTTTATCTTGTTCACTTTGTTTCTCCCTTGCATGTGTATTTCCTTTGAGATCTGGTGTGAATCGAACCCAAAAACCATTTTTGGTCGATGGACAGATGGGTCTTTTTTTAAAAAAAAATATTTTTTTAGATCTCCACACCTGGAGGCCCATTTTTAAAGAAAAATCCTTTCGATTTTTGGAATAGAGAAGAAAAGCTTTCGATTTGCTTTAAAATAAACAAAATATTTTGCCGCCGATGATCGGCGGCGCGACGACCATATTCTGGGAATCACGGCGCCTGTTCATCCTTTGATGAACAAATCAGAGAAAAAATGAGAGATGGGGGGGGGTTTCAGCGAGAAGAGAGAATGAAATTATCAAGCCAAAACAATGGCTTACATACGTGACCCATTTACCCATTCAGGGTCCGCGTGCTGACCCGACCCGTTGCATCAGATCCGCTTGTTTCACGCAAAATCGAAAAATCCCATTTTGGTCCCATCCGTTTTAAAAAATTCTAATTTGATCCCTAAAACTCGATTTTAAACCCCCATTTGCTTGCGAATTCGACCTTCTGTTTTGATTTCCTTTCAATTTAACCCCTCCGTCATTATTATTACTTCTTGCATATATATGTACATATTTTTTACTATTTATTTTATTATATATTTTTATTTATACGTTATACATATATGTATATTTCATATTCATATTATTCTCTTTTTATTTTTAATATTATTTTTTTTTCCTCTGCTTTTTATTATTTTTTATTATTTCATTATTTCTTTTGTCTATTATTATTAAATTTTTCTTCTCTCATATTTAGCTATTATACGTATATATATATTATTATATGTTTTCATTAATTTTATTATTTGACTTTATTTAGTATACGCTATTATTTTACATTTTTTATTTCAACATTTGAATATATATATATATATATGTATACATATATGTGTGTGTATATTTTATTTAATTCTTATCATTTTTTTATTTTGCTTTCCTCATTTATTTATTTATTTATTTGTTTTTTTTTTTCGTTTTATGGTACCTTATCTTTTCTTATTTCTTTATTCGTTTATTTTCTATTTTATCATATGTTTCATACTTTGTCTTTATTTTACTTCCTTCATGTTCCATGTCTCCATGTTGATTATGTTATTTATTGTGTATCCTTTATTTTTATTTGTTCTTCATTTTCTTTATTTTTTTAATTTATTTCCATCACCTTTTCTAATACATCTTTTGACTCTTAAAGGGCTCACTTTTAAATCAATTAGTGGTAAGTTTTCGGATCGTTATTTTACCTTTAAATTTAAACTTACAATTTTCTTAATTAAGACAACTGGAAATTACGTAGTACCGAAAGGGCGTTTTAAGGGTGATAATCCTTCCTTGACCGTAACCGACTCCCGAATCCGACATATCACTGGTAAGACGCAGATCATGTAAGAAATAAGGTATCCGATCAACCCATTTGTTTTAAATAAATGATCGGTGGCGACTCCAATCCACATTTTTCAAGTCGAAGCCCAATTCCGGGGCCCAACCGAAAGACGGTTACGACAGCTTGGCGACTCCGCTGGGGACCTAGGTAAGCGAGTCAGGCTAAGGTAATTTCCAGTTGTCTTTTTAATGAAAAGGGTAAGTTTGAACTTTAAGGTAACATTGCGATCCTTATTACTTACTTTTGGTTTTTTTTTTCGAGTAAATAGTTGGACTGACCGTTTTCTAATGATTTCAGCTTTCCAAACTTTTTCATCCAAAGGCTCTATACCCGAGCTCCGAACCCTTTAAGTGGGGGTGAAAACGACGCATTCGTGTGAATTTATTCACCGCATATGCCTAGCAAGTAGCCTTCGGGATTCATATACCTTATGTCTTCGTGTGAATTTATTCTCCGCATAGACATAAGGGAATGTGTCCCCTCGAGTTTAACTTAGTCCACACAAGCCTGTGACGGGTTTAGGACTAAGGTCTGGTAAGCCCAAGGGGCACCGATAAGGAGGACTCGAGTACCGTTTTTAGAACCTAAACCGGGAGACTTTTGAAGAAAGAGCCTACCCCAAAACCACATTCCAAAACCTAGGACATTGTTTACCTAACCATGTTTTTGTCCCTATTTTTTTTCCCTTGCCATTTTTTTTCTTCTCTTTTTTCATTTATTTATTTATTTATACTTTTACTAACTTTTTACCTTTGTGTTTGTTTTTTTTAGCATTTGCATCATAACAAGAGGCCATTGATCCCTAAAAAGACGTTCATTACGCACAAAATAATCTGAATTAATGGATAAAGGTGTTGTAATACAAGAGATTAAAAACCCCGAGGTACGACTATGGTCCGAGAAGACTCAGAAGGAAAAGGGAGACAGTCTTCAAGACAGCTATGTGTCAGAGCTGGTTAGCTACGCCTCGATCAGCCTAAAGCAGAATGACGTACAAGAGCTCCGGGACATCTGGGACAGTTGGAAGAATGAGGTGAAACAGAAGTTCAGCCAACGGTACGGTGATGTTGCACTTTTGCTTCATGTTAAGATTGATGAGCCCCTAATCAGAGCCTTGGTTCAATTCTGGAACCCGGGATACAGTTGCTTCACCTTTAACCGGGAAGACATGGTGCCCACCA